TCCCAGCACTTTGGGAGGCCGAGGCAAGTAGATCACTTGAGGCCAGGAGTTCGAGACCAGCCTGATCAACATGGTGAAACCCTGTCTCTACTAAAAATAGAAAAATTAGCCAGACGTGGTGGCCCATGCCTGTTAATCCCAGCTACTCAGGAGGCTGAGGCAGGAGAATTGTTTGAACCCAGGAGGCAGAGGTTGCAGTGAGCCAAGATGGCGCCACTGCACTCCAGACTGGGTGACAGAGCAAGACGCTGTCTCAAAAAAAGTAAGGGGAGAAAGTCTTCGCTCTTGACCTAATAGAGGTTTTCTTGCTGTCCAATGTTACTTCGCTAAAGAAATTCCTAGATGCTTATAAGCCACAGTACTCTTTTATAAATTGATGAAATTGAACTTCGCACCTTATTAAAAGTAATATGTTAACATACTACATTTCATTATTAGAAGACTTAGTTGTTTCTGACCATTATTATAAATAGCTCACAATTTTTAGTTGTTCGAATTTTGAGGTAATTTAGCTTTTTAAGTACAGTTTTTGTTTGTCTTAAGAAGTTTTTCGTGCACTGGAGAGACTAGATCAGGTTTTTGCCTTTATCCTTGCAACACTTTTAGGAGAAGATAAAAGAGAACCTTGTTTTCAGTACATCTTTCAATTAGCTGTTAAAGTTTGTGCTGATTTTTAAGACTTAGAAGAAAATTTTTGATAAAATAATTTTTAGGTGTGATGTAAAATTTTTAATGTTTCTTGAAGGATTAACTTTTAAAGAAAACTTTAGAACTTTGAAGTTATAATGAAATCAAGTGGAGATTTATCTAGTTTTTTTTTTTTTATTAAGTCACTTTATCTCTTTGTTCTTTCCTCAGTTAAGCTTTTTTAAAAAGTAAATTTAATTTTGAAGAAAATATAAATACTTTATATTCAGAAGTCTAATATATCACAAATACATTATACACAGTACATTGCACATACTTAAAGTAGAAACATTGATAACATTTTGACATACGTACATATTAGTGAAACTATCACCACAATCACAGGCAAGAGTTTCCTTGTGAATTTTTTTAATCTCCTTCTCCCTGTCTTCACTTCCCTCTCCAAGCATCTACTGATCTGCTTTTTGTCACTTTAGTTTGAATTTTCTAGAAGGTTAAAAATGGAAACATATAGTATGCATGCTTTTTTGGTCTGGCTTCTTTCAGCATAATTATTTTAAGATTTGTTCTTGTTGTATGTTTTAATAGTTCATTTTTTGGCTAATTACATATACTATAATTTGCTTATCCATTCGACAACTGATGGGCATTCAGGTGGTTTTTAGTTTTGTGATATTACAAATAAAACTGCTATTAATACTGTACAAATCTTACAAGATACATGTTTGTTTCTTTGAGATGGAGTTTCGCTCTGTTGCCAGGCTGGAGTGTAGTGGCACGATCTCGGCTCACTGCATCCTCCACCTCCTGGGTTCAAGGGATTCTCTTGCCTCAACCTCCTGAGTAGCTGGGGTTACAGACATGCGCCACCACACCCAGTTAACTTTTGTATTTTTCAGTAGAGCCGGGGTTTCGCCATGCTGGCCAGGATGGTCTCGATCTCCTGACCCTGTGATGTGCCACCTTGCCCTCCCAAAGTGCTGGAATTACAGGCATGAGCCACTGTGCCTGGCCCATATGATTTTATTTCTCTACTTATTTTTTAGATGGAGTCTTGCTCTGTCACCCAGGCTGGAGTGCAGTGGCGTGATATCAGCTCACTGCAACCTTTGCTTCCAGGATTCAAGCGATCCTCCTGCCTCAGCCCTCTGAGTGGCTGGAATTACAGGTGGCCACCACTACGCCCAGCTGTCCTTTGTATTTTTAGTAGAGAAGAGGTTTTACCATGTTGGCCAGGCTGGTCTCGAATTCCTGACCTCAGGTGATCTACCTGCCTCTGCTTCCCAAAGTGCTAGGATTACAGGCGTGAGCCTACTGTGCCCAGCCATGAACACTTAATTTTTTAAGACACTGCCAAATGCCAAACTATTATTTTACCAAGCGGTCGTACCATTTTAACATTTCTACTAGCAGTACACCAGAGTTTCTGTTCCCCTATATTCTCTATAAGACTTGGTATAGTCAGTCTTTTTAATTTTAGCCATTTTAATGGGGATGTAGTGGTAATACTCATCATCGTTTTAATGTACATTTCCTTAATGACTAAGTAAGTCAGATGTCTTTTTATGTGCATATTTGTCATTTGTTTATTTTTGGTGAAGTGTTTATTAAGATCTCCCTACCACCTGCCTTTTTTTATTGGCTTGTTTTCTTCTTACTGACTTTTGTGAGACTTTGTATTCTGGAGGCAGTTCCTTTATCAGATACATGTTTGCACATATTTATCTCACTCTGTGGCTTATATTTTCATTGTTTTAATCTTTTGAAGAGCAGACTTTTTTATGAAATTTGGTTTATCAATTTTTTTTTTTTTCCCCTTACAAGGTTTTAAAATTAAAATTCAGGAGAGTACAATCATGCAGCACAGGCTGATTAGCCAAATGTAAAATAAACTGGCTTCTTATCACAACTAACTTGTGAACATCACAGCCCTTCTTCTCTCTAAAATGACCATAAAGAAAAGTTACTGTGGTGAAATAGAAACCTAGATTTGAGGTAAAACGTAAAAACCAAAGGAAAAATAGCAATTCAGTGGTTTATTGGTGAAAGCAGGAAAGTTGGTGCCCTTCACTGGGCTGCTTTGCTCTTCTTACTCTAGCTTTTATTTATTTATTTTTTTTTTAAGATGGAGTCTCGCTTTGTTGCCAGGGCTGGAGTGCAGTGGTGTGATCTCAGCTCACTACAATCTCTGCCTCCTGGGTTCAAGAGATTCTCCTGCCTCAGCCTCTGCAATAGCTTTTATTATAGGCTCATGCTACCATACCTGGCCAATTTTTGTATTTTTAGTAGAGATGAGGTTTCACCATGTTGGCCAGGCTGGTCTCAAACTCCTGAGCCCAGGTGATCTACCTGTCTTGGCCTTCTGAAGTACTGGGATTACAGGTGAGCCACAATACCTGGCCTTACTCTTGCTTTTTTTTTTTCCTCCTCTTTAGCCCATCCATGTTAGACTTCAGTAGGTTTGAACAAATCATCTATTTATTTATTTGGAGCTTATCACAGTGCTGATTGTTCCTCATTCATATATAGAAATCCTCTTGAAATTTTTGTGTTTATTTTGTATCCTGCCACCTTACCTAAACTTTTTTTTGAGACAGTCTTTATCTGTTCTGGGGCTGGAGTGCAGTGGCTTACTGGAGCCTTGACCACTCAGGCTCAAGCTATCCTCCTACTTCAGCCTCCTGGTTAGCTGGGACTAGATGCACATATCACTATGGTCAACTAATTTTTTCCTGTAATTTTTTGTAGAGGCAGGGTTTTGAATGTCGCCTAGGCCTGTCTTGAACTCCTGCACTTAAACCATTTGCCCTCCCTTTTCCTCCCAAAGTGCTGGGATTACAGGTATAAGCTACCATGCCTGGCCACTTTAATTTTTATTTCTTTGCTGTGGATTTCTGGTTTTATTTCATTGTGGTCTGGGAGAGCAAGGTACTATATGATTTCTATTCTTTAAAATTTGTTAAGGTGTGTTTTATGGTCTAGAATGTGGTCCATCTGGTCTTGGTTACTGCCATTTATTCAAGGGGAAGTTTTTGGACATTGGGCTTAATTGGCTCTTCTTTTTCTACTATTCTGAAGATTAAGGCTGGGCATGGTGGCTCACACCTCTGTAATCCCAGTGATTTGGGAGGCTGAGGCGGGTGGATCACTTGAGATCACTTGAGGTTAGGAGTTCCAGACCAGCCTGGCCGACATGAAGAAACACTGTCTCTACTAAAAGTACAAAAATTAGCCTGGCATGGTGGCATGGGCCCATTGTCCCAGCGACTCAGGAGGCGGAGGTTGCAGCGATCCGAGATCTCATCACTACACTCCAGTGTGGGTGACAGAGTGAGACTCTGTCTCAAAAAAAAAAAAAAAAAGAAAGGCCCGGCACAGTGGATCACCTGAGTTCGGGAATTCAAGACCAGCCTGGCCAACATGGCAAAACCCTGTATCTCTTAAAAATACAAAAATTAGCGGGGTGTAGTGGTGGGTGCCTGTAATCCCAGTTACTCTGGAGAGTGTGGCGGGAAAATCGCTTGAACCCGGGAGGCGGAGGTTGCAGTGAGCCGCGATCACGCCATTGCACTCCAGCCTGGGTGACCAGAGCAAAACTCTTGTCTCAAAAAAAGATTATTGTTCTTCATTCTTTCTTTTCTAATATACACAGTCAGTACTATAAATTCCCCTTTAAGTGCTACTTTCCTAGCATCTCACAAATTTTTGTAAGTTGTATTTTTTTCATTTAGTTCAAAATATTTTAAAATTTCTCTTTATATTTCTTATTTTACTTATATGTTGTTTGGAAGTGTGTTATTTAATCTCCATGTATTTGGAGATTTTATGGCCACCTTTCTGGTATTGACTTCTGATTTTATCTCATTGTGGTCTGAGAGAGCAAGGCACTATATGATTTCTGTTCTTTAAAATTTGTTAAAGGTGTACTTTATGGTCTAGAATGTGGTCCATCCTGTTTAATGTTCCATGTAAGCTTGAGAATAGAAGAATGTGTCATCTGCTGTTGTTGGACAAAGTAGTCTACTGAGGTCAGTTATGTACAGTTGATTGATAGCACTGTTCAGCTCAACTGTGTCCTTAACTGATTTTTTTCCCCTGATATATCTGTTAATTTTTTGGCTGCAGTATCTATTAATTTCTGTCAGTTTTTGCTTCACATATTTTGACCACTTTTGTTAGTCACATAATTGAGGATTGTTATGTCTTTTTGAAGTATTAACATCTTTATCTTAGGTAATTACTCTCTTTATTTCTAGTACTTTTTTTGCTCCGAGTCTGTTCTGTTCATAATTAATATAGTATTTCTGCTTTTTAAAAATTAGTGTTCCTTTTACCTCGTTGCCTTTCTGAGAGCAAGATGGGTCACCAGCAGCTGTACTGTAGCCACCTGCGAAAATTCGGCCAGGGCTCTCACTCTTGTCGAGTATGTTCAGACCGGCACGGTTTGATCTGGAAATACGGTCTCAATATGTGCCGCCAGTGTTTCCATCAGTATGCGAAGGATATAGGTTTCATTAAGTTGGACTAAATGATCTTCAAAGGATTATCCAAGACATCTACCATGAAAAACCGTGATAGTTCTTTGTACATAAAATAAACATTTTTAAAAACAAACAACAAAAAAAAAGTTAGTATGGTATATCGTTCTCCATCTGTTTCCTTTGTTTTTATTTATTCATTTATTTTTATATGGAACACTTCACGAATTCGCATGTCACCCTTGCACAGGGGGCCATGCCCATCTTCTCTGTTTCATTCTAATTTTTGTATATGTGCTGCCAAACTGAGCACCATTTCCTTGAAACTCTACATGTGTTTATAATTACAGTAGGTTTCTTACAGACAACATGTAGTTGCTGTTTGGTTTTTGATCTGTGACAATCTTTATTTTTTAATTGGGGCATTTAGACCATTGCCATTTAAGGTGTTTATTGATATAATTGGGTTTATATCTACCATATTTATTACTGTTTTTCATTTTTAAATTTTTGTTACTGTTTTTGTCACTCACAGCTTTTGTGGTTTTAATTGAGCATTTTATTTGATTGCATTTCCTTGTCTTTTTTTAACCCTTTCGTTACACCTTTAAGTGTTTCATTTTACTCTCTTTGATTGCGTGTTTTCTGAGGTGAATTCAGATATAATTCTTATACTTGTGCCTGTGTGAGTAAGGTGTTTTTCTCTGGCTTCCTTCATGGATTTTAATCTTTGAGCATAGAGGTGTACTCCTCTTTCCCCCTTCTTTTTCACATTTATCTTGCTTGGTGTTCTCTGTTTCTTTGATAGCTGGTTTGGTTACTGCCGTTTATTTGAGGGGAAGTTTTTGGACCTTATTTCAAATACTGCTTCTGCTTCTTTCTTCTCCTCATTGTATTCCCATTTTAACCATGTTATGCTTTTTATATATGGCCCAGCATTCATGAATATTTTATTTGCTTTTGTTTTCCAGTCTTTTTTGTCTTTCCTTTTCAATTTTGAAAGTTTCTGTTGTCATATCCTCAAGCTTAAGAGATATTTTCTTAAGCAGTGTCCCAGTCTACTAATGATTCCATCAAAGACATTCTTCATTTCTGTTTGTGTTTGATCTCTCTGGCATTTCTGATTTGCTTTCATTATGTATATGTTCTTACATGTTGTCTGCCTTTTCCATTAAGTCCCTTATCATATTGATCATAGATTTAAAAAATTCTTGCTCTCATAATTTCAACATTCCTGCCATGTCTGAGTTAGTTTCTGATGATTTTTCACTTTGTTTAAACTGCCTTTTTTGCCTTTTTTGTTGTTTTTGACATGTCTAGTAATGTACTAGTGAATTGTGGGGAACAGGAGGCATCCTATACTTGTTTAATTAGGTTTCAGTCTTTAGGTGAACCTGTACACCTGGAATGTGAACTGCACAGGGCCTTTTTAGTTATTTTCTTCTCCTGCAGGTAGGACAGAATGCTTAGAGTGGCCTGAGGTTGTATATTTCTCTTTCCTAGGTTGGTTAGGCTCTGACAAAAACCACTACAGGTTAGAACCTGGTTAGTTTCTTCTGAAAGCAGGCCTTGTTAGGAAAAGGATAGCTGTGGTTATTTCAAAATGGTACCTTTTCCCCCTTTATTGGAGAGATCTCTGGGGCACTCTTTCTCCATTATTCACTCTGAGGGCCTGATGGATGTGCTGGAGGTAAAATTCACAAAAGTACGAGGGTCCCCAAGACTGGGTCCCCCTAGAGGTTTTTCTCTTTTAGGCTTGTCCACACTGTGCCTCCAGCAGTCTATCAGTGAAAATAGTTTAGGTTTTCTTTCCCTGCTGCTGGTTCCTGCAGAGGTTTCAGCTCCTGGATTTGCTTAGGTAAGTTGTAAGTCTCTCTGTGCACCAATTTGTCTTTCCAGTTTTTTGTTGTTGTTGTTGAGACGGAGTTTCATTCTCCTTGCCCAAGCTGGGGTGCGATCTTGGCTCACTGCAACCTCTGCCTCCCGGGTTCAAGCAATCTCCTGCCTCAGCCTCCCAAGTAGCTGGTATTACATGCAAGTGCCACCACACCCAGCTAATTTTTGTATTTTTAGTAGAGACAGGATTTCAATATGTTAGTCAGGCTGGTCTCAAACTCCTGACCTCAGATGGTCCACCTGCCTCAACCTCCCAAAGTGCTGGGATTACAAGCGTGAGCCCCAGTTTTTGTTTGGCATTTTACCCTTTCACCTCTAAATTCACTGATAGAAGAGTTGGTGATTTTCAGTTTGTTGAGCTTTGTATTTGTTACAGGGCAGAGCAGAGACTTCTCTCTGCTCCTTATATGCCCAACGAAAAACCAGATTTCCTGATAAAGGCATTTAATGATACAACTTCCCTCTCAAGTACTACTTTATGAATTTTGATACGTTATGTTTTCATTTTTATGTAGTTTAAAAAATACGTTGTGGTTTTCCTTTTCATTTCTTCTTTGACCTGTGAGTTACTTAAAAATGCATTACATAGTTTGGAATTTGTGGATATTCACATTTTTTTTGTTACTGATTTTTAATTTAATATTTTTGCATTGTATCTTTTTAAAAAATTTATCGATACTTTTTTGATGTGGAACATGGATTATCTTGTTAAATATTCTTTGTGTTTTTTAAAGGAATGAGTGTGTCTTGATCTGCAGTTGTGTGGAGTTTTCAGTAAATGTCCATTAGGTCAAGTTTATTTATATTGTTTAAGTTGTCTATATCCTTATTCATTTTTTGGCTATTTGTTCTGTCAATTATTGTGAGTGGTGGGCATTAGGTACAGAAACAATTAGGATTTTTGTGTCTCCTTGATGAGTAAACCACTGTATTTTGTTAATATTCTTTGTTGTGAAATCTACTGGCTGATACTAATATAGTGAATTTAGCTTTCTTTTGATTAGGTTTAGCTTAATGTTTCTTTCCCCATGCTTATACTTTCTTTGTGCCTTTATATTGAAAATAGGTTTCTTTTTTTTTTTGTGATAGAGTCTCGCTCTGTCACCTGTGCTGGAGTACAGTGGCATGATCTCAGCTCACAGCAACCTCTGCCCTCCCGGGTTTAAGTGATTCTCCTGCCTAAGACTCCCAAGTAGCTGGGATTACAGTTGTGCACCGTTGTGCCTGGCTAAGTTTTGTCTTTCTAGTAGACATGGGGTTTCACCTCTCAGGCTTGTCCACAATGTGTTACCAGCAATTTATCGATTAAAATAGTATAAAAAAATACTTTAGGTTTTCTTGATAACCTATTTTATCTTGAACTCCTAGCCTCAAGTGATCCATCTGTCTCAGCCTTCCAGAGTGCTGGGATTACAGGTATGAGCCACCATGCCCGGACTGAAATTAATCTAACTTAAAATAGATGTCTTTAAGGCAGCATATAGTTAGGTCTTGAGTTCATTTATTGTTGCAGTCTTTCCTTATTAACTGTAGTGTTTAGAGAATTTACATATAATATGGTTCTATGTGTGGTTGTATTTTATTATATTATTATTATTATTATTATTATTATTATTGAGACAAGGTCTCTGTCTTCGAGGCTGGAGTGCAGTGGCTCAATCTCAGTTTACGGGAAACTCCACCACTTGGGTTCAAGCAATTCTCCTACCTCAGTCTCCTGAGTAGCTGGGACTACAGGCATGTGCCACCACACCTGGTTTTTAGTGATAAGCAACTTGATATTGAACTGAGTTGAGTTTTGTTTCTTCGTATTTCTTTTTCTTGGGGTTCCTTGAGGTTTTTAAACTGTGAGTTTATTTTTTTTTCATTAATTTAATAATTTTTCCTACTATTTTTTTCTTCAGTTTTGTGGGGATTTTTTTGTTTGTTTGATTCGATCCTCCCTTTTTCAGTATTCTAGTAGCATCTAAATTAGGCTAAAGTCATTCTACAGCTCACTATTTTGTTTTGTTTTTTTAATGTGTTCATTCTTTAGGTGATTTTTGTTGGGTAGTTTACATGCTGTATTCTCAAGGTTGGCTTGTTAAAAAAAATTGTGGTTTTTATGAAATACTTGAATAGTACATTATTTTGAAATTTTAACTAACACATTATGTTTTCTCATGGGTAAAGGCATAGAGAGCTCTTGGCTGTTTTCTTCCTTCTTCCTCCTGGTTACCTATGTAGATGACAGAGTCTGATAGAGTAATCTGAAACAACCATACCGTTTGTAAATAATCATAGCTGCTTTTTCTTTGGTTACTTGTTATAGAGTCATTATTTAAATTTGGATCTAGTTTTAAATTTTTGTTTGAAGTAAGTATTTTTTGTTCCCACTTAATGCTATTGAGTAGGTATATTGGTGTTGCAGCTTATCTTAGGACTAATAGTTGGCCATGAAGTAAAAATGACATGTATTCTGAATTACTCTTTTAAAAGATTAAGTGGCCTGTAAATCACAATGTAGAACAAAGTATTTATGCAGTACCTCAGAGACTGTTAATACAGCCAGTTATCCAGTTTTATCTTGAGTAGAAAAGAACCAAAAAAAAAAAAAAAAGGCCATGTATTTTTCAGTAGAGCACCAAATGAAGTAGTGTGCATTTTGTGGTCCATTTTGCATCAAAAATAAGTATTTTTAAGTGCAGAAATTAGCAGTGAGATGTTCATACTATGAGAGACATGTAGAATATGAAAGTGGGGAAACAAGAGTTTGTGAATTTAGTCTTGGGCTTATTCATTGTGTGTTTTTCAGCCATCTCCTGCCCTCCTCTGAGAAAGGTAAAAATCTTTTACCTTTCTCTTCCTCGATTTTGAGTTAATCATTGTTAGGTTTGTAATGGAATTCCCTAGTGCCATATTGTCCCAACAGCACATTATGGAACAAGTACTTTTAAAATCACTTTTAAACATGTAATTAAAATAGAAGTTCCTCTTTGAATGAACCCTGCATTGCCTTAGTGTCATTATGTATACTTTAAAAATTAACATTTTGTCATCCCATTTCAAATTGAGCCATTGAAAAAAAGAGTTAACATTTAAAGCTAAAATTTATTATTTTTCATATTAAGTCTGATTATGTTCTGAATTATAGGTGTGGACATTTAAAAAATGT